ACACAGTACCCTGTGTAGTAAAGTGAGTATTGTTTCTAATGTATCATTGGAAACAATACTAACTTTACTACGCAGTATCATTGGAAACAATACTAACTTTACTACGCAGTATCATTAGAAACAATACTCACTTTACTACACAGTACCATTAGAAACAATACTCACTTTACTTTATTTCTAGAAAGAACACCTAACCTACTGAAAACTGAGATTATTGTTTGTACATTTATCTTGCAGTTATCTAGAAAGAAGAGTCGACATCAGAATTAATTTTTGAATATAAAATATGGTTGGCATGGTACCAAATACTACAAAATTTGTAAATTAATAAAAAGCCTCTGTATAATTTAACTCCAGTGTTTACAAGACATGGTTTCTTAAATGCTACATTCATAAATTCATGTGTAGTTTACCTCCAGAACTTCTCCTCTTCAGTGCCAACTGCACCTCGCGTTGTCTCCTTCTGGCTTCTGCTTTCTTTTCCTGTAGGCAACGCCGCTCATTCTCCTGTGTACAAAAACAGAAAACTATGCAGAAAATTTCTTTTGATGAACCTGTGTTTAAACTGATTATGTAATCTGTCCTTTTCTTAGGACAGTTTTATTTATTGTTCTTTTCTTTTCTTTATTGTTCCATCAATACACCCTTCTTCCTCTGACTTTCATCAGGAACTTTTGCTACAATTTCCTGCTCAAAATTCAGTTACATATTTTCTGTAGCTACCCTTTCATACATACAAAATATAATGATTCAAGGGCTACAACTTAATCTTTGAATATCTGGTATATAAAACCATATTTTAAACATTCTTTCAAAGATAGAAAATAAAATAGGTGGAGACAACTGAGGAATAACAGGAGAACCAAAACGACAGAAATCGGAATGATCTCACTCCACTTTAAGCAAGCTGATCTAAATAAAGTAGAAGTTAAGAAATGACACGTATTAAAATACAATAAAATACAGTAAAGAAGAATATGTATTTTTAAATGGGTATGATGTTTTGATCAATGGTGTGATCATTCTCAAGTACACAAAACTATTCAACTTATGACAAGGCTTATGTTAGTCTGAAGACTATTCTGTGTTACTTGAGTTCTACTATATTTGTATACTTTACATGAAGACAGTGAAACAGTTCATTCGTTCATCTCCTGATTTATATCAGTTTTCAGATTTTTATATGGACAGGAATTTTATCTAGAAAAACCAAAGAAAGAAAAAGAAAATATTAAGTTTTGTTCCAGGATTGTAGGAAAACTGCATGAAGAAATTCGGAGAGAAAAGGCTGAGTTAATCCAACACCTATAAAGCTTTACAGCTCTTGAAATGTTGCAGCAGGAACTCCTTTCAAAATATCCTGAAGAAATT